AGTACTCTTCCCTGGAAAATCCCATGGACGGAGGATACAGCCCATGGGGTCGCATAAGAGTTGGACACGACTGAGAGACTTCACTGCTCATCATAATAGAAGGTATTGAGAACTGGGAAAAAACAAGACATGCATCACATTTTATGGGACAAACATAACTACCTTGGTTTTCATGTCTCATGCCCTATAAATTCATCTTTGTCTTTGACCCTCGAATTTTATTCCTTGCTCTCAGTATGAAAGCATTTCAGTTTAGTGATACATTTTTTGCTGAGAACTAAGTATTTAAATGCTACAGCCCCTGGTTTCTTCCTCTCATATTTGCCTGTGCATATCCACAATATGATCTCCCTTAAAAATACCCTCTGTCACTTATTCATACATGGTTGCATAACATTCTTTCCTCCATATCCAATCTGATAGGGTTTAAATTAAAGATTTCTTCATATCACTTAATGACAAACCAACCTCCGCATTCCTCAAGAGAGTGCACTCTGTCACGAAGATCATATAGACAGAACTGAGAAGGTTACACTCCACCACTCTCCACATACATCCCACTTTATCCACTAGCAAAACTGGGTAAGCCAAATACACATAGTATTAAAGTCTTCAAGAGCTGAGACCACAAAGAAACCAAGAGAAAATATATCTAGGTTTGAATGGGTTCCATTAGAATTAGCAGAAATTAGAAACATGAGGAACATAACATGTGGAAATTTGCTATATCTGTTCATGCAACAACTGCAGGTTGTCCTGATGCTGATGGAGGGACTCTCCTAGTGTATCAAACCAGGGGTCTATGTGAGACAGCATGACTGGAAGCTGTCAAGTCAGGTCTGCAGAAGTACCCAGTGGAGAGGAAAGCCTACCAATTTCTAGTTTGTTTCCAGGGATTTTTTTGTTGAGATCATGTTGGTGCAGTGAATCTGGGAATATACAGCAAAGCAAATGGACAAGACATGACCATTGAAGGGTTTGGAGCACAAATTCCTTATAGAGGATGAGGCCTGTGTGGTGGGCAGGATCTGAGATGCTCTCACTGATTCCAGCTCCTGGTTTTAATTCCATTGTGTGTTTCCTCCCACTGACTGTGAGCTGAAATAAAGAGATGAAAGTACATTTTCTTTAAAGACAATTATTAGCTCTGAAAATGGAAAGTGTATCACATCATTGGTCTAGACCTCATGCTCCATAGATTTCATGATTGATACAATGGATTTCAACGTGTCAAAATTACACATTGAGTGGTAAGTTGAGAAAAAAGGTCTGACGTTATATTAAGATCCTGCATCTTGGAGGTAAGAAGCAAGAGTATGTAGAATTTCCTCCTGAGATGAAAAGGGACCCAGACCCTTCCCAGGACATTCACTTTTCTCCTTTTCCTTTTCCATTAATATTAACAAGTCCCCAGAGTTTGGGACAACATGGACCAACTGGCTAATTGTGATCTGTGAGCACTGAGCCCTAAGGTCATACCATTGTAAACAATTAGCCAGTGCCTCCAGCTCATTAATTTGCCTGTTCTAGTACTCTGGCTCCACACTTATGTCCCCATCCTTTGTAGGAACCTGCATCAGAAGGTCCAGCCTGAGTCTGTCTTCCTGCCCATCCTGAGGAGGGACCCTAAGACTTCATCACACACCAGGCAGGAGAGGAACAGTGAGTCTGTGCTTCTTGGTCATGTTCCAGCAGAGATGCAGCCCAGCCCAGTAAGTGCTGAAGGAGACAGTGAAAGTGAAGGGAGTTTGGGAGCATGATTTTTTCCACAACAAGACAAACATGACAGTTGGGATATAGAGACGGAAATGAATTGATTCTTGTTGTTCAGTATATCAGTTGTGTTGGAGTCTTTTTGACCTCATGGACTGTAGCATGCCAGGCTTCCCTGTCCTTCACCATCTCCCAGAGCTTGCTCAAACTCATGTCCCTTGTGTAGGTGATGCCATCCAGCCATCTCTGCACAGATTGTCCAACCATCTCTCCATCCTCTGTTGTCCCCTTCTCCTCCTGTTTTCAATCTTTCCCAGCATCAGGGTGTTTCTAATAAGTCAGCTATTTAAATCAGGTGGCCAAAGTATTGGCACTTCAGCTTCAGCATCAATGACTATTGACTAATGACTATTGAGGACTATTCAGGACTGATTTCCTTTAGGATTGACTGGTTTGATCTCCTTGTTGTCTGTCCAAGGGACTCTCAAGAGTCTTCTCCAAGACCACAGTTCAAAACCATCAATTCTTTGGCACTCTGCCTTCTTGATGGTCCAATTCTCACATCCATACATTACTACTGGAAAAACCACAGCTTTGACTATATGGACCTTTGTTGGCAAAGCAATGTCTCTTCTTTTTAATATGCTGTCTAGATTTATCATATCTTTCCTTCCAAGGAGCAAGCATCTTTTAATTTCATGGTGCAGTCACTGTCCACAATGACTTTAGAGCCCAAGAAAATAAAGTCTGTCACTGTTTCCATTGTTTTCCCATTCATTTGCCATGAAGCAACAGGACCAGATGCAATGATCTTAGTTTTTTGTATGTTGAGTTTTAAGCCAGCTTTTTTATTCTCCTCTTTCACTTTCATCAAGATGCTTTTCAGTTAGCCTTCACTTTCTGCATTTAGGGTGGTGTCATCTGCATTCTGAGGTTATTGATATTTCTGTTGACAATCTTAATTCTAGCTTGTGCTTCATCCAGCCCCGAATTTTGCATGATGTTCATGGTGAATGTAAGTTAAATAAGCACGGTGACAATTTACAGCTTTGACGTACTCCTTTCCCAATTTGGAACCAGTCCATTGTTCCATATCCGGTTCTAGCTGTTGCTTCCTGACCTGCATACAGGTTTCCCAGGAGGCAGCTAAGGTGATCTGGTATTCCCATCTCTAAGAATTTTCCAGTTTGCTGTGATCCACATAGTCAAAGGCTTTAGCATAGTCAATGAAGCAGAAGTAGATTTTTTTGGTATTCCCTTGCTTTTTCTACATTCCAACAGACATTGACAATTTGATCTCTGGTTCCTGTTTTCTAATCACCAGTCCAGATTCAATGCATGACACAGGATGCTCTGGACTGGTGCACTGGGATGACCCAGAGGGATGGGATGGGGAGGAAGGTGGGAGAGGGGTTCAGGATGGGGAACACATGTACACCTGTGGTGGATTCATGCCAATGTATGGCAAAAACCAATACAATATTGTAAAGCAATTAGTCTCCAATTAAAATAAATAAATTTATATTAAAAATAATAAACCCAGCTTGTACATCTACAAGTTCTCAGTTCACATACTGTTGAAGCCTAGCTTGAAAGATTTTGAGCATTGCCTTTGCTAGCCTGTGAAATGAGTGCACTTGTGTGGTAGTTTGAACATTCTTTGGCATTTCCCTTCTTTGGGATTATATTTCCCTGATGGCTCAGTTGGTAAAGAAACTGCCTACAATGCATGAGACTCAGGTTTGATCCCTGGGTTGGGAAGATCCCTAGAGAAGGGAATTGCAGCCCACACCATTACTCTTGTCTGGAGAATGCCAAGGACAGAGGAGCCTGGCAGGTTATAGTTCATGGGGTCACTAAGAGTTGGACACAACTGAGCAACTAACGCTTTTAACATTTCTTTGGGATTGGAATGAAAACTGACCTTTTCAGTCCTGTGGCTGAGTTTTTCAAATTTGCTGGCATATTGATTGCAGCACTTTAACAGCATCATATTTTAGGATTTGAAATAGCTAAGTTAGAATTTAAACACCTTCACTAACTTTTTCAGAGTAATACTTCTTGAGGTCCATTTGACTTCACATTCCAGAAGGTCTGGCTCTAGTTGAATGACTGCACCATTGTGGTCATTTGGGTCATTAAGACCTTTTTTGTACAGTTCTTCTGTGTATTCTTGCCTCCTCTTCTTAATATCTTCTGCTTCTGTTAGGTTCATACAGTTTCTGTCCTTTACTATGCCCACTTTTGCATGAAATATTCCTTTGGCATCTATAATCCTTCTGAAGAGATCTCTTGTCTTTCCCATTCTATTGTTTCCCCCTATTTCTTTGCATTGTTCACTTAGGAAGGCTTTCTTATCTCTTCTTGCTATTCTTTGGAACTCTTTATTCAGATGGCTGTTTATTTCCTTATTTCCTTTGCCTTTTTTGTCTCTACTTTTTTCAGCTATTTGTAAGGCCTCCTCAGGCAACCATATGCCTTTTTGCATTTCTTTTTCTTGGGAATGCTTTTGATCACTGCCTCCTCTACAATGTTACAAACCTCCATCCATAGTTCTTCAGGCACTCTATCAGATCTAATCCCTTGAATCTATTTGTCCCTTTCACTTTATAATCATAAGGGATTTTATTTAGGCCATACTTAAATGGCCTCATGGTTTTCCCTACTTCCCTACTTTCCCTACTTCCCTACTTCAATTTCTCTTTCTTCAATTTAAGTCTGAATTTTTCAAAGAATACATTGGTACATGCCATTTTCTCGTTATCTTTCTTCCAAACTCTTTTCTTCTTCAAAGGTGTCCAAGATACATACAACCACAGAATATAACACAGAATCTAACCAGTGTCTCAGAATTCTTCCTGGGCCTATCAGATGATCCAGAACTGCAGCCTTTGCTCTGTGTCCTGTTTCTGTCCATGTACCTGGTCACTGTGCTGGGAAACCTGCTCATCATCCAGGCCGTCACCTCTGACCCCCACCTTCACACCCCCATGTACTTCTTCCTCTCCAACCTCTCCTTGGCTGACATTGGTTTCGTCTCCACCACAGTCCCCAAGATGATTGTGAACATCCAAACTCACAGCAGAGTCATCTCCTGTGAAGGCTGCCTGACTCAAATGTCTATTTTTATCATTTATGGAGGCATGGATTGTACGCTTCTGACTGCTATGGCCTATGACCGGTTTGTGGCCATCTGTCATCCACTGCACTCCACGGCCATCATGAACCCACACTTCAGTGGCTTCTTAGTTTTGGTGTCTTTTTTGGTTAGCCTTTTGGAGTCCCAGGTGCACAATTTGATTGTGTTACAACTCACCTGCTTCAAGGATGTGGAAATTTCTAATTTCTTCTGTGACCCTTCTCTGCTCCTCGACCTGGCCTGTTCTGACACTGTTACCAATAACATAGTCATGTATTTTGTTGGTACCATCTTTGGTTTTCTCCCTTTATCAGGAATCTTTTTCTCTTATTATAAAATTCTTTCTTCCATTCTGAGAATCCCCTCAACAGGTGGGAAATATAAAGCCTTCTCCACTTGTGGCTCCCACCTTGCAGTTGTTTGCTTATTTTATGGAACAAGCCTTGGGGTGTACCTCATCTCAGCCATCTCACAATCTCCCAGGAAGGATGTGACAGCATCAGTGGTGTACACTGTGGTCACCCCCATGCTGAACCCCTTCATCTACAGTCTTAGGAACAGAGACATCAAAAGGGCCGTGTGGAAGCTGCTCCGCAAAATAAGCTCATCTTAGTACCTGTGCCACCCATTTGGAGTGTATAAGGTTTAAAAATGTAGCAAAATTAACACCTAGACCTAAAAATTCCACCTCTCTCAGGACATCATTTCTGCAGCCCTTATGGCTTCACTTCTCTTCCTTAACAGCTTAATTATTACTCCTTTTTTAGGTCCTTATCTGACCATTTGAGAGTTCTATCATCCTTTGTATGTCATATTCACTTTTTGACTGAATATTGTTTTATCTACAGAGATTTTATAGTTTATAATTGGTAGCCCAAGCATCCTCAAAATATAAATAATTCCCTTTCATTTCTATATTACCATATGTAAAATAAATAGCAAGTGAGAATTTTCTATGTGACACCAGGAGCTCAACCCAGGGCTCTGTGACAATCTAGAGGGGTGGACTGGGATGGGAGATGGGACAGGGGCTCCAGAGGGAGGGGACATATGTATACTTATGGCTGATTCATGTTGATGAATGGCAGACGCCAACACAATATTCTAAAGCGATTATCCTCTAAGGAAAAAAGGAAAAAGTGTATATGTCAAAGAGCCATAAGCAAGTAAAAATTAGCTTTCATATCTTTTTACATTGTTCTTCAGGTTTTAGTTCTCAACTTTGTAACTACCTCGTGTATTGTGGTATAGTGGCTAATAAAAATAAAATCTTTAAAAATTTTTCTTTTAATACATTGAAAGTTTACAATTCTTCCACAGCCCTTATGTAATTTCTACGTGTATGTGCCTAGTTGCTTCGTTTGCGTCTGACTCTTTGGAACCCCAAAGAGTATACTATAGCTCACCAGGCTCCTCGGTCCATGGGGATTCTCCAGGCAAGAATACTGGAGTGGGTTGCCATACCCTCCTCCAGGGAATCTTCCCAACACAGGGATTGAACCCAGGTCTCCTGTACTGCAGGTCAATTCTTTACCATCTGAGCCACCAGGGAAGCCCGTGTATTTTCCATAGTGAATTCTATTTTTCACATCCCTGCATGCAGTTATGTGTGAGGATACCTGTCACTGCTTCACAACCTTGGCTTTTTTTTTAAATCGTCTGGGAAGTTTAAAAATTCTGACCCCTGTCTTTTCACCTTGCTTATAGTTTCCTTTGTTGTGCAAAAGCTTTTAAATTTAATTAGGTCCCATTTGTTTATTTTTGCTTTTATTTCCAGTACTCTGGGAGGTGGGTCATAGAGGATCCTGCTGTGATTTATGTCAGAGAGTGTTTTGCCTATGTTTTCCTCTAGGAGTTTTATAGTTTCTGGTCTTATGTTTAGATCTTTAATCCTTTTTGAGTTTATTTTTGTGTATGGTGTTAGAAAGTGTTCTAGTTTCATTCTTTTACAAGTAGTTGACCAGTTTTCCTAGCACCACTTGTTAAAGAGATTGTCTTTTCTCCATTGTATATTCTTGCCTCCTTTGTTGAAGATAAGGTGTCCACAGGTGAGACAGCAAAAGAGACACAGATGTATAGAACAGTCTTTTGGACTCTGGGAGAGGGCAAGGGTGGGATAATTTGGGAGAGTGGCATTGAAACATCTATATTATCATATGTGAAATAGATCGCCAGTCCAGGTTCGATGCATGATACAGGGTGCTCGGGGCTGGTTCACTGGGATGACCCAGGGGATGGCATGGGAAGGGAGGTGGGAGGGGACTTCAGGATGGGGGACATATGTAAACTCGTGGTGGACTCATGTCAATGTATGGCAAAATCACTACAATATTGTAAAGTAATTAGCCTCCAATAAATAAAAATAAGTGAAAAAAATTAAAAAAATAAAATAAAATAAATAAATTCATGTTTAAAAAAATAAAATAAAATGTGTTAATCCTTAAGTTTTTTAATTATACATAGGATTTTTTGTTTCACTACTGTCTCAGTTAAATGTCTCATGTGAGAAACCAATGTACTATATTTGGGCTTTATTCTGTGCTGACAGGATAATACAACTTCATTGTCATTTCATCAGTTTACTGAAGTGATTGACAAAATTGCATATATTTGAGTTGTGCCACATGAAGTTACAAAGTGATGATTTAATACAGAGAGACCTTGGGGATGATTACAGTCAAGTTAATTAGCATATCTGTCACCTCACAAAGTTCCTATTTGTGTGTATGGAAACAGTTAAATAGATCTCCCTTAGCAGATTTTAAGAAAACAACCAGAATTATTAGCTGGTTTTTTTTTAAACTTATTCATCTATCAATAGACAGTTACCTGTATTTTCACTATTTCAAATGACAGCACATGACAAGGAAACACACATATCTCTTTGGGGTTCTGATTTATCTCATTGGCATCTACCTTGAAGTGGGGTTGCTGGAGCCTATGGTAGATCTATTTCAATTAGCTTCCGTTTTTAATTTTTAAGGAACCTCCATTCTGTTTTCTATAATGGCCGTACCAATATTCATGCTCACTGATCAGGTACAAGTTTTTCCATCACTTCCACATCCTCCCAACATTTGTTTTCTTTTAAGTTTTTTCTTTAAAAAGTCATCCAAAGAGATGTGAGTTGAGCTTTGATTTAGCTATGGACTTGTGTTTGCAATATTAACTCCTGTTGTGCGCCTTTTCGTATACCTGATGGTCTGGTTCTTCTTATCATAAACCCACCTATTTACAGATGAGGAGTTCAGCACCAGGGAATGTCCCACAGCAAGGTCAAGACCCAGCCTTCTTAGATTGAGTTAACAGATTTTCATGCAAAAAATGCATGTTAACAGATCTTCATTCCTTTATCTTCCTGGTAAAGGAATCACAATTCTTTCATTCTGCTGCCTGAAAGTAACTCAGCTTCATTATTTTAGCAGGTCGCATTCTGATTTAACTGAGAAAAATTTCTAAATAGTATAATGTAAACACCTCTGTGTTATTTCCTGCTCTCTAAAATTGTGATAATAATTGAATATTCCTAATAGGACTATTGAAAGAAAGTCTTAAAAATCATTTATACATCTTAAACAAGTGGCTTTCAGTTCCTGTTGGTTGATATTTTATGTGTTGCTTTTGTTGTTGTTCAGTCACTAAGCCAGCTCCCACTCTTTGCAACCCCATGGACTTGTAGCTTGCTAGGCTCCTCAGTCCATGGAATTTTCCAGGCAAGGATACTGGGGTGGGTTGCCTTTGCCTTCTCCAAATTTATGTGTGCCTTTTAAAAAATACTCAGTTACCCCAGCCTCAGGCTAGAACCAATTTCAGGATCTACATGTGAGTTAACTGGTCAACCTAATGTGAAGCTGGGCTTGATAAACATTGCCAAAGAACATTGCCCAACACTTAGTAAAAGCTCCATTAGTATTATGAATTAATGTTATCATCAATAACCCCTACCAGATCTCATATTTCATAGAGGTTTGAAATATTAACAATAAAATTTAACTTTTCTTGGTATCTCAGCTCCATCTCTTTCCTCAGCATACATGGCCCCAAAAGTAACCAGTGTCATGGAGTTGATGGGTATGTTTCCTTGTCAATGTTTTCATAATATCAGTATTCATTTATGTATCCATAACTAGCTTTTGTAAAATTTTTTGTAAACAGAATACTATCCATATTGCCCCTGAAATAAACTTGTTTACCACAACATTATGGTCAAGTCTCTTTGCAAAGAACATTCAACTACTTCAAACATTTTCCTGACACACATTATTACATAAGAAAAGACAACATTTTAATCAGTTCATATATTTACCTTTATAAAAATTATTATAAATTGAATTAATTTAAAATATATCTTTCATGGTTTTTAAATGCAATAATATATACTTTAATACATATATATGTATTTATTTTACATATATAAAGTATATATATATACTTTAATATATATTAAATAAATATTTAACTTACATTATGTATATTACATTTTTATTCATATCAGTTTCTGCTTACAAAAGTCCTGTGAAAATTCTTGGACCTCTCTCTGTATTATACAAATGGGAATTTGCATATAATATGTGAGTGGGAATTGTTCAAGTTTTAACAATCGGTTTCATTATCAGTTTCACTAATTAATATTAGTAATAGCTTATATTTGTATCAGGGCTTTCCTGGTAGCTCAGATGGTAAGACAATCCGCCTGCAATGTGAGAGACCTGTATTCAATCCCTGGGTTGGGAAGATCCCCTGGAGAAGACCATAGTAACCCACTCCAGTTTTCTTGCCTGGAGAATCCCATGGACTAGGAGCCTGGTGGGCTACAGTTCATGGAGTCCCAAAGGGTCGGACACAACTGAGCAAGTAAGTAAAGCAGCACAGCATATTGGTTTCAATGCAAAAATCATTTCTGTCAACTGCATCCTGTTTTATTAAGTACAATTTGAAAACATCCTTGATGTCTGTCTGATTTTAATTTCATAATAGCTTCACATGGCATTTTTCTCTTGTATAGGAAATATTATTAAACTTAGATTCAAAACTGGACTGCAAAATGCATGACTATGCAATCAGTTCAGTTCAGTCACCCAGTCTTTTTCGACACTTTGTGACCTCATGGACTGCAGCACACCAGGCTTCCCTGCCCATTACCAACACCCAGAGCTTGGTCAAACTCATGTCCATCGAGTTGGTGATGCCATCCAGCCATCTCATCCTCTGTCGTCCCCTTCTCCTCCTGCCTTCAATCTTTCCCAGCATCAGGGTCTTTTCCAATGAGTCAGTTCTTCTTTGCATCAGGTGGCCAAAGTATTGGAGTTTCAGCTTCAGCATCAGTCCTTCCAAGGAATATTCAGGACTGATTTCCTTTAGGATTGAATAGTTGAATATCCTTGCAGTCCAAGGGACTCTCAAGAGTCCTCCCCAGCACCGCAATTCAAAAGCATCAATTCTTCAGTACACAGCTTTCTTTATGGCCCAGCTCTCACATCCAACATGACTACTGGAAAAACCATAGCTTTGACTAGACGGACCTTTGTGACTAGATGGACTGAGTGACTAAGCACAGCACAGTACCCCTCCCAGCTCCTCAGCAATCACTGTGGGAGGTGGCGTATCACAGTT